TGCTGCTTGTTCGCTTGCCCTCTCGTCCCTTGCAGTGTGGTTGTCTTGGTGGTGTTGCCTGGTGCTTCACTGCTTGGGTGCCCTGCTGCGAGTTCTACGTGCCGTGTCGTTCCTTGCAGTCGTTTTTGGCGTTGTGCAGCCTTGTTGCCTCTACTGCGCTGCCTGGTGCTCCGCAGGGTTGCTGCCCGCTGCTATGWTCCGCTTGRGGACAGWMTGCCTTYAACAAGGKTYAAAGSGTTCATGACCCAAACCATCATATTCAGGGATTCCGCAGATTGTCGAGGGTTCAGCCTCCTGATGAGTCGGTGCAATTCCGACGAAACAATCTTGTTATCATCAGTTTCTATTTTTTTCAGTCCTTCGGCTTTCTTGGGACTTGTATTTTTTTCGGTTTGCCTGTTTCCATCGGTGCTACTTGTTTCTCAGCTCACTATCTTTGCCTCGTCCCCGACGCCGCGTTTTGACCTTTCGTTGGTACTACTTGTTTTTTAGCTCACTATCTTTTCCTTGTCCTATCGTGTTCTTGTGCCCGCCCACCTCCCCCGTGCCCTGCCCCCCCAGCCTTTGTTTTGTTGTTGCTTGTCGTTTATGTGCGTCGTATGTCTCCCCAGTATGCGTTATCTCCTATTATTCCCTGCCCCTTCCCTATGTGTTAGTCTGCTTCACTTCAATAGTAGGACGTTCGGCTTCTTGTTGTTTGCTTGTTTTGGTCATGCCATATGAAGTGGACAATTTAGTTTTTTGTGTGTTGCTTGATGTGCTATTTCCACTCAGCTCGCCACGTCTGTTCACGTGGGGGTTTCGTCTCATATCACACACACACACACGCACACACACACGCGCAATCAGTTTTATTTATGTTTCTCGTCTTGGTTTTTGTGTGTCTGTTTTCCTGTTTTTTTTAAGGTACTTTTTGTGTGTCCGTGTGTTACATGCCCAGGGCGACGTACATATAAACCGAGGATCCGCAATGTGATAACGACTGAATGGACAATGCAGTGCAAGTGGAATCTCAACAAGCAATGTACATTCCGATACACACAAAATGGTGCTTTATAGCGCAGGGAAGACTTTGGATACAAGTCTGGACCTGACCGGACTGACCCCTTTCATGTAGTACAAGATATCGAAACAGAATGCTAGAATACTAATGACTAGCCCAATCAATGTTTCAACGCAGACCAAACATACATCATGCTCATCACAAGGTGTGAAGGGGCCTGGCGCTATACACAGGAAAGAAGCGCCAGGTCCAGACATACWCAGACGAAGAGGAGGGGATCAGACGAAGAAAAGGAAGGGGGAGATGGGAAAGTCGTCAACACCACGTCTTGTTACGAGTCCCAAATAATCCCTCTTCAAAATGTCTGAAGTCCAATGTCGAGTCTGGATCCAAATGTCACCAAGCTCTCTCTCTCTCTCTCTCCCTCGTAGTCTGCTGATGCAGTGAAGTCAGATAGCGAGAGGGTGAGAAGGAGATGGTGGACTGAGAAGAGGAAGAAGAAGAACCCTCTCTCTCTCACGAGCCAGGTACTAACCTGTGAAGTTGGCGCTGTGCTGCAGGTACCTCGAAGACGAAGCTGGAGCAACGGCGCTGCAGGTAAGTTCTCCTGGCCTCCGCCCAATCCCTCTCTCTCTAGTACTACTCTAGCTGCTATGGCACCCAACGCTGAAGACTACAGCTAACGCTACGAGCGCCCAGCGCTGAAGACTAATGCTAATGCTACTACTACTCCTGCAGCGCTCCTCTAGAGTGCTGCTGCCGAATCCTGAAGACTACTGACTGCCTCCTGCCTCCCTGTGAAGTGCATGGGAAGTCCCTAYCTACTACCTCGGCCTGCCTCCTGACTGCCTCCGACTGCCTGCAGTTSCCGGGCGGGCAGTCCAGGAGGCTGCTCTTGCCAATGCCAAACTGAGYCAGGGTCTGGCGCTGCACCTGTCGTGGGAACAGTCCAAAAATAGCATGTTCCTTAAACCCTGGTTTGGTGCCTGAGTTTCAGGGGTGGTCGGTCTGATGAAAGACCGAAAATGGCCCTTTGTTTCAGGATAAAAAGGCTACTGCCATTTTCAGTCTGAAATGACACAAGGTCTGTAGGCCCCTGTTTTCCAGGCTTTCGAGCTGAACAGACACAGGGCCTGTAGGCCCTGGTTTTCAGGCTTTCAGCCTGAGGGACGCAGGGCCTGGAAAATGGCCCTCGTGTGCAGGCGCAGCATATAACACCAGTGCTAAACAGTTGGTGGTTGGGGGTGTCTGGAGTGCCTGTAGGACTCTTAGGGCGGATGCTGGGCTCATGATGTCTGTGGTGCATATGGCCTGTGGGTGATGATGGATATCCGTCGGAGTACCTCCCTGGCTCAGCAGGTTGTGGGAACCAATAATCTGCGAGGTTCACCCGTGATGTGACTAAGTGATGAACCACTTTGCTCCGTGTTGGATGTGTAGACTGCCTTGTCTGCCSTCYCCCGCTGCCTTTGTGCCTGTCCCGCTGGCGTTGGATGTTGTCYTTGCAAGCTGCTGTGTTCGCTCTGTGGTGTGGCTGTGGTGTGGGTGTTGCCTTGTGCTTYGCTGCCTTGCTGYCGTGCTGCCCATCTGCGTGCCTTCCCTTCCACATTCCTTGCTCTTGTCACTTGTGGCTGCTGTGTTGGTGCTGCCTCGTGCYTCGCCGCGCTGTTGCTGCTCGGCGCGCTCGTCTGYTTGCCCTGTTGTTCCTTGCAGTTGTTTTTGGCATTGTGCAGTCGTGTTGCCTCGGCAGYGTTGCATGGTGCTWCGCTGAGTTGCTGCATGCTGCTATGTTCTGCTTGTGGACAGTCTGCCTTGTCTGCTCTACTGTGCCCTGCTCTGTTGATCCCTACCCCCCTCCTCCCCTCCCTCCCTGTGCCCTGCTCTGTTAAACCCTMARCCATCCGACGCTCCGAAGGCGGGAGCCTCTCTTATATCGGCGAATGTTGGAGAGGTGGTGAACTCCCCATGCAAGTCTGAGCGTGTTCCTCACATGGTCCCCGGGTTGACTGCTGCCCAGCACATGCTTTGTGAACTTGTCGGCAATGTCCTGTTTTCTGGTGGGGTCTCCTTGGATGTGCATTCTTGCGATGCAGTCGTAGCTTTTTTAGGGGATTTGAATTTTTTTCCTACTCTGCCTACTTTGCGTGTTCTAGTGTCGTCTGCTCATTCGCCTCCTCCATGCCCTCCAGCTATTGTCATTTGCTGCTGCCTGTTGTCGGCGGGGCCAGATGCCCTAAAATACACGTTGTTCAATAACTACTGTGAAGGCGCCTGCGGAACCCACGGGCAAGTTGGCCCACCTTGGAGTGACCAGGTTAAGTAGCAGTGGTGGGGCTGCATGTTGTCCGAGCGGTTGCCGTGTCCGCGGTGTGGTGTTGTGTGTGTGTGGTGTGAGTTCAAGGATGCTACAGCCCTGGAGGTGGTCTGGATATCACGACCGGTATGGATCCAGTTTTTATAACACCTCCAAGGGTTGTAGTGGTTTGTGATGATTTGTGGATGGAATATGAGAGAGAGAGAGAGAGAGAGAGAGAGAGAGAGAGAGAGAGAGAGAGAGAGAGAGAGAGAGAGAGAGAGAGAGAGAGAGAGAGTGTTTAAGGTTCTTTGGAAACACAAAAATAAACACACACAGCTGAACGAACACGACAAACACACACATGCAAATTGGGTATACGAGTGGCGCAGGAATTTTTTTGGGTGTGCAACCCAAAAATTTCCAGGCACGCAACATATTTTGGGCTACAGGGCCTCTTTTATTTTTATTTTTTTTGACTGTTCTCATTGGAGGGGGAAGAGGAGAGAAGAAGACAAAAGGAGGAGGAAGAGAAGGAGAAGGAGGAGGAGGAGGAAGAGGAGGAGGAGAGGAGGAAAGGAGGAGGAGAGGAGAAGAAGAAGAGGAAAGGAGAAGGGGGAGGAGGAGAGGAAGAAGAAGAAGAGGAAGGAAGGAGGTGGAGGAGGCTTCAGGACGATGGCAACAGCAGCTTCACGGGCAGCGACGACGAGGAGGGATTCTCGACGAGGCAGCTCGATGGAAACAACGATGGGCAGCTCGACGAAGACGGGCAGGCTTCACGACCGCAGCGACGACGGGCGGGCTACTAGTGACGATGGGCGGCGTAGTGACGGCACCGACGACGGGCTTCGCAACAGGGAATACCGCGTTCGAATTCGTGGCCCACAGGAAGGGGAAACAATTTGTTGGCGGCTAATCTCAGTCGAAAACCTCACTCTCCCCCCTCAAACTACTTGTACATTGTCGCAGATTCAGAAAAAAGAAAATTTACCTGGTGTCGCGGGAGGCTGGGGAGGCGACCAGTAGCCAAAAAAGACCTCCCTCCCCCTCTGCGCGAAATTGCGCTGGCCTCTCCCGGACCCAAACCGGGGGACCCAACCGGCCGGGCCGCCCGGGACCCCTGCTGGAGGAAGGCCAGGCCTCCGGACGGTCCGGAGTTTAACACAGGATATAGTCTCATATAGATAGATTTGGGCTGCTTATGGATTTCTCTTACTGCTTCCTGTCATTCACAACTATTTGTGCATGTTCGCGTTGAACCTGGTGCTAATCACTTTTGGCCTTGGTTACAC